GTCCAACCCCTGCATGGAGCAGCATCATCCACGGGTTTAATTCCACAATCAGGGATTCACAAATCCAGCTGCTCAGAGCAAATGTGCCCAAGGAACCCTGGGCTCTGGGAGAGGCTTTTCCTCTCCCTTCTCCTGCCCTTACATCCCTGCCAAGGGCCGGCCTCATCCCACAGGATGATTTTTGGGAGTCCAACCCCTGTGAGGAGCAGCACCATCCCTGGGGTTAATTCCACAACTGAGAGTTTGCACAACCCTGGCTGCTCGGATCGAGCCTGAGACACCTCAGGCACTGGGAAAGGCTTTTCCTCTCCTTTCCTCCTTCCATCACTTCCCTGCTGAGGTTTCCATGCCCTTGGAGGGCTGGGTTTGCTGCCCAGCCTCCCTGGGATTGCACCTCGGCTCAAATTAATGACGCAACCGAGCCACCCTAAATCACTTACAACTAAATTTATCACTCCTGGCCTCAGTTTTTTTAAGGGGAAAATTCCCCATCCAGAAGAGAAGGGAGGGAGAAGAGTCCTTGGAGAGGAGTCCTGGAAGATGAGCCTCCAACACACGCCCAGGGCCCTTCCTTTCACTGAGTTACGGAATCATGGAATGAGTTGGGATTGGAAGGAACAATAAAGATCATCCAGTTCCCTTGGCAGGGACACCTGCCACTCTCCCAGGCTGCTCCAACCTGGCCTTGGGCACTTCCAGGGATCTCTGGACATCTCTGGGAAATCCATTCCAGCCCAAGCCCACCATGACAGGGAAGAATTTCTTCCCAATATCCAAAGAAAATTCCCATTCCCTTCTGTTGGCTGTAGCATCCTTCAAACGCCACATCCTTATCAATCCAAACCCCAAATAAATAACTTATTTTAAACTCTATCAATTCACCCTTTTTTTTTCCCGGTTGATTGCCGATGGATTTCTCCTCTTTTCATCCCATCTGGCAAACTCTGCTTGTTGTGACTCCAGGATCTGATCCCACGTCCCCTGCAGCATTCCAAAGGCTTGGATCAGAACCTGGACGCCTGCTTAATACTGGTTTTACGACCCTGCTGAAGGGCAGCATCCTCTGTTTTGCACATACTTTTAGAACTTTTAAGTGCATTTCAGTTAAAAAAAAATAAAATAAAATAAAATCAATTTCAACCAAGTGCTCAAATAACGCAGCCTGCACAGAAGGAGCAGAATTCTGGCTTGGGAAGACCAATAAAAATAATTGGATTTGGAATCCTGGCCAGTAATTTTTGGAGTTTGAGTATTTTTGAGATTTTTTTGTCTTGATTTTTTATTTATATATATATACTTTTTTTTTCCCCTGGGAATGATATCCAGAGGGAAGCAGAAATTGTGCTTGGTAAAATCTCTCGTGTTCTACAAAGCTTCACCTGCTCTGGCTCCGTGAAAATTGAAAAATTCCACCAAATTTACTCCAATCCCTCTAATCCTGAGGAAATACAAGCATGGATTTAATTTTCCATCCTCTCCAAGGTGCAGTTTTTAAAACTGTCCTGGAGCTCCAAGTCTCAGGTTTAGATTGAGATCTCCTGCAGCAAGCCAAGACACTTCTCCATTAGCTACTCTTAGGATAACCCATTAATAATCATTTTCATCTGGAAAACATGTTTATTTGTTGGGATTTTTGGAATCTTACGTCCTCCAAAGGAGATAGGAACTGGGATTAATGATTCCATGAGGAAAATATTTCGTGTTCCCCAAGCCACGGAGCTTTCCCGCTCCAAAATAACTATTTATTTTTAATTTCAGCCAATGAACTTCTACACTGTCAGGCTTTTTTGCATCAGATCCATTTCATCAGAGTGACCTAAACCGGTTCTTTATCCACTAAAAAAACAGGGATACGTTGCAGCAGGAGCAGTTGGAAGCTTGGAATGCTCACGAACGGAGGGCGAAAAATCAAGATTAATTTTGTTTTAAGCAGGTAATCAGGCCAAGGGGGGAGGCTGAGATTGGCTGGAGTTTTAAAAGGACATTTTTCTTCCCGAAATGACTCGGTGGGGCTCCCGAGCCAGACGGGCAGGTTTGCCCAGTAGCATTCTCACACTGGGCTGAGGAATCGGAGCCTTGGATCCCGGCCAAATCCAATGGAAATCTCTTTGGCTGAGGGGGGGGAAAAAAAAAAAAAAGCCAAATTGCTTTTCTACCACATCTCCAGGTTTGGGGTGACCCGTGACAGTTTCGCTCCTATTTTGGGCGTGAAGAAAATCAAATGTTTTGGGTTTTTAACTCTTTTAGCAAGCACGAGGCAAACTCTGGGTGTTGGGCACGGGACGAGGCTGAAACTTTGGCTGGTATTTGGTGCCAAATATTGATGAGGGGAAATGAACCCCCCAGCTCAGGGGGATTCACTGTGACCCTCCCAAAACCTGGAGGAAAACACGGAAAATAATGTTTGATACAGACTTTCTTGCTGGATTTCATGGAAGAAATTGAAATTATTTATGAAGGGCGTCAAGAATGAGGAATTTCCTCCTGGGAAGGGACGGAGCTGTGGCTGCTGGGGGGATTTTAATGGGGGTTTCAAACCCGATGATCACCGCTCAGAATCATTCCTGATTCTCCATCAGGGATTTAAAACAAGGATTTTAAATCCCCTGAGGGACCCAGGGAGCCTCCACCGTGCCCTGAACCGAGGTGAACTCTCAGTCCCTGCTCGCACAACGCCCCTGGCACCGCATTATCACCGGTGGCACTGAGCTGATCCCAGCTCAAATATTCCACGGCAAACACAGTCGGGCTTCATTTTCCTGCAGCGAAGTATCAAAGGCAGCAGTGCCCTTTGAAGCAGCCACCTTCTGCTGCAGGCTTTGTGCAAATGCCGCAGAACAGCAGCTCCCAAATCCCGCACAAAGGCAAACAATCCCCACCTTTGGAAAACAATCCCCTGGCGGAGGAGTAAACAAAAGCATCCATTAGTCACCGGCCCAAAGATGGGCAGGTGAGGATGTTGAACCTGGGAGCCTGACTAATAGCACGCAGCATTCCCAAATCCCTCCACTTAAAGGATCCTGGGCACCTGGATCTGGATGTCACACCTGGAAACCTCAGGCTGGTGTCTGGGAGCGGCTCAAGGAGCAGGGGAAGGGTTCCTTACTCCCAAGAAATAGGGCCTGCTTTGTCCCAGCTGCTGGATTTTGACCTTGAGGCTCCCCCAGTTGCCTGTTATGATTTCCAGCCTCATTACCATGGCCAGGAACTGAACTACAGGTTTGTTTTTATGAGCTTCTCCAGCACTCTGCCAGCCATTCATTTGAATCTTCTAAACAGTCAGCTCTGAATCATAATGCAAATTCCATTTACTGAAAAGGTGGTACCTTTAATATTCCAAATGACCACGTTTAATGACTGATACTTTTAGACATTACAGCATCTCTCATGTTTTCAGTAAATGGATATAATTTGCTCTGCATTACCCTATTATTATTCCTCGCTGGCATTACAAGGCGACGTTCTCAGCTGCGGGTGTTTTCCATTTGAAGACGGCCCAAACAACACAATTTGAGAGGCAGCTGCCTCTGTACCCTCAGCTAAAAAACGCTGCAGGACCCAGAGGAAAACTGGGATGGGGATTTTATTCCTCAAATGTATTTAGTGCTCCGGCAGGGCCACGCTTCTGCGGCGTTGTGTTTGTGTTGGAAGGGTGTCGGAGGGCGCTTTTCACTTCAAAGGCGAGGGAAAAGCTGTTGTGTATAATCAGGAGAACTTCCTCGCTCTCCAGCCTGACACATCTCCCGTTTGGAATAAAAGCCAGAAGTGGGTCAGCTCTGGGACTCTCCCGAAAATCAGGAACCCGTGTGTGGAAGCAGGATGAGGCTCGGGTGCCACGTGGGAACAGAGGGAGGGGAAAGTGGTGAGGAAGGGGCAGCAAACCCCGACTTCTGAGGGACACCAGAGCACAGATTGCTCCAAAATGAGACCTCCTGGAGTTCAGGAGATGCTGCTCTGCCGCTAAATTGTCCTGGAATAACGCTGGAATACCGTAACGCCCCGTCCCGAATTTAAAGACAAAATTAAACAGAAGGAAAATACATAATAAATTCACACTGGAAATGTGACGGATTTTCATCTCTGACCTTTAAAGAGAGAGGCTGCTCCTTCTCCTGGGCTTTTTCTGAGCCACAGCTCGCTGGCTTCTCTTTGGGGGTTTGGCTGAACCTCCCTGAAGTCCCCTCACCGTTCTATCAGTTTATTTTAAGGGCTTCTTTGGGAATTGATGTGATTTAGGATTAAGGAGTGAAGTTTTAAAGGGTTTTCTGCTGATTTCTTTGGGATGAAGCTTTGTGCACCTGCCCACTCACACATCAGGTGCTATTTGCAGCTTCTCAGTACTTCCATACAGTCCCACTCTAAGTCATCTTCAACTCTTAATTATGCTCCAAAAGCCTTTCTATTTCTACCAGCAGCTACTGGTTATGGTAGAGATAAATCTGATTTTAAACCCCTCTGTCCTGCCTGCTCTCTCCACACTGCAGGAGACATCAAGTGCTGTGACTGTTGAACTTTGAGAGAAAAAAAGGTCAGAGAAAGAGCCTTCAGCAGGCCAGGGACCTGTGGAATTTTTAGATCTGCGTGGGAATTATTTGTATTTTTAGCCTGACTCTCTCTGTTGCAAAGATCAGTTTTTCTGGAGAGTGCTGGGGAGCCCCGAGATGACCACGAGCTGAAAATTCTCATTTTAAATTGAAAATCTGCCACTTAGGCCTAACCACGGGTAGCACCACACTGCCTGAATTACCGAGGGCGGCTGCCAGAGTCGAAATGCCACTCTCTGGGTGGGATTTCATCTCTTTTTTTCCCCCACAACGGGATTTCACCGCTTAAAAAATCAGCGCAACGCGGAAAACGGGCTGGGAAGGAAACACGGGAACCCATCCAGCTCATCCCGTGCCTTTGGCATGGAGCTAGGTTTTCCAGCATTCCTTGGTGGATAAAAACCCCCAGCCCCGTGTCCAGAGGCAGAAGATGAAGCTGAAACCCCCTCCCCGTACCTCTGCCGCTCCTGCCCACGAAGCGCAGGTCGTTGAACCGCGCCACCTGGTTCTTCATGGCGGCCGTGGCGTTGCGCAGCTCCGCCGAGTAATTCTCGTCATTCCCGGCCATCACCGTCACCAGGGTCCCGTCGGGGACGTCCCCCAGGGCCACCACCTGCAACAGCAAGAGCAGAACCCTCGGTTTCCTCCTGCCTTTCATTGAAAAATAGAACCAAGGGGGCGAAAAAGCCGCCGTGAAAAGCTGGGCGGGCCAGGCGGGCGTTGGAGGAGATGGGAATCATTCCTGATTTGTTGGAATGGGAATCCTCTTCTTCCCCACCGAGTGTTGTCCCCTTCTAATCGAGAGCAGAGAATCAAGGATTCTAACTGAGGATTTTTTCATTGGGTTACGGAATCTGAGCTCTGAAATGATAAATTCCACACCCGCCCGCTGTTGAACGGGAGCGTGGAGGTTGATTTGGTGCTGCGCTAAAATGTTTTCCAATCCGGATAAAAAATTCCTCTCCCCATTTCCTGCAGAACCAAAGGACCTAAATTAGTGAATTTTTAAAGGATCATTATATTACCATCACACATATTTTTTTAAAATGCATCTTTTTTTTTTTTTTGTTTTACTCCTCATCATGGATTTCTACCATTTTAAACCAAATTTTTCCTAATTTTTCCAAGGAAAAAATTCCTTGGAATTTTGATGCACCTCCAGAACACCCAGCACGATGTGAAATGGAAAATGCTCCCAGATGAAAAACACAGAAAAAGGGCTTTCCAAAATCTCTGTAATTGTCAATAAATAAATTCAAGTAGCAGCGCTACATGGTTTGATTTATATCAGGAGTTTTTAATGGAGCTGCCCAAGCAGAAATCCAGAGCAAGGCCACGGAAAATCAGGCCTCAATCAAATGTTTAACCCCAATTTACTGAACAATTCCCTTTTTTTTCCCTTCAGGAGCATAAAGAAAATAATTTTCAGACCTCACCCTCGAGTGGATGGATGGAAATCATGACCTGAACTAAGGACTTTCCCCTTTTCCCAAAATATTTGTGCTCCTTGGTGCCAGAATCCATCAAACCTTTAGGAACAGGGGATTCACTGGGTTTTTGATGAGAACGATCAAGATTTGGGAACTCAGATATTCTGATCTGTTGACACTCTTCACACTGGCTTAATGATGAAAAATTTAATTTTTCTTGTATTTTCTTGAATCCCCCAAACAAATCCAACCTGCTGGAACTCCGTGGATATCTGGGATCTCTCTCCATGTCCTCTGATAAAAATCAGAGCTTGAATTATTTTGTCTGATTTTCTTTAGAGCCCATTGCCGTTTCCCCAATTCCACAGCACTACCACCCCCAAAAAAAAAACAAACCCAGAGATAAAAACCCAGCTTGTTTTTAATTCCTCTTTTGCCCTCTGGAAGAGGAACCAGCCCTGCACTGCGTCCTCTGAGTTGCAGCTCGAGATTTTCCTTCCTCTTAACATTTTCTGACTTCAGTCCAGGCAGTTGCAATTGGCTGAAGTTTGTCACAACCTGATTTTATTTCTCTTTTCTGATCTGTTTGCTCTTTAGAAACGGGATCAGCAGCTCCTTGACTTGATCCAGCCCTGATTTTTATTCCCCAGCCTCCCAAAATATGAGAGAATTCCCCAATTTCAGGTATTTCCCAGCTTTTTTTTTTCCACAGGAGGCTGAGCTTTTCACTTCTGTCCTCTCCCCTTTGCTCACCCCTAACCCTGATTTTCACTTCCACATGCAAAGCTAAAATCTCTGGGTCAAAATTCCCTCTTTACATCTTGATTTCAACTTCCTCTTTCCCCGTTCCTCCCCGGCCCTGATTTTTGGGTTTTTGTTCTCCTCTCTGGGCTGCAATTTGGTTTTTTTGGGGCCTGTTCTCAGCTCAGCTTTTCAGATTTCCCTGATTTTGGCAGAAATGAGGCCCTGCTGGAAATGCTGGAGCTTGGAAATCGTCACAAAATCAGCAACTCCGCAGGCAGTTCTTAAAAATTCCTGCAAAACCTTGATGCATCCACATCTAATGGAGGAAAAACAGGGAAAAGGGAAAATCAGGGCATTACCCTGCCATGCAAATATTGAATTTAAGGGAATTTATGCCAGGATTTTAAGCTTTCACAAGGTTTTTCGTGGATCCAGGGCCAGTCATCTCTGACAGAAATATTTTAAAGCTTTCAAATCCAAACCTCGGCGATAGAAACGGGAAGAAAATCTTAAAAATGAGTCAAAAAACTGACCCAGCCCAGAAAAGAAACTGGACTTGAAAAGTCACAGACAATAGAAACAGAAATACAAATATTTACATTAGAAAAAAGACTAAACAGATAAGCTGGGACTTGTTCCTGGAGTTATCAAGGACTTTTTTGTACTTTTTACCTCTAAAAAAAACTGTATTTCCAGAGGAGCAAGAAGAATATCAGGTTTGCAGTGCTGTGGGGTATCTAAATTCACTTCTCTGGCATCAATTAATCCAAATTGGCCTCTTAAATTAAGATTCAGGTTCTTAACAGCATTTGGACAATGAATTTATATGGCACCTTATTGGTTATTGTGAATTCTTTTTTCTCATTTTTTTCAGAATCGTTCTTAAATTTAGGACAAACCAATGAAAATTGATCCCTCTGGATTGAAATAATATCCCAATCCCACAGATTTTTTTAGTGGATTTTTCTAAAAGTGAGGAGAAAACTCCTCTCTCTCTGCCTCTTTTTATTCCTACAGTGAATAAAAAGAAGAAATTCTCGATAAAACTCAGCCCTTTTTTGTCAGATGCAAACAAAATTTTGGCAGCAGAGGAATGATCTGAATTTTATTTTTGTTTTCTCCCCTGGGCCAAACGATCTTTAAAAAAATCCCGATTTTTAATAAAATGGCTTTGCAAATACTTCATATTTAGTAGAAAACCACTGAGGTGTGGCAAATTCTTTCAGGAGTTATTCTCTCGGGGTTTATTCTCTCAGGATTTATTCTCTCAGGATTTATTTCTCCAAGGAGAGAGAATTTTTGGGGTGAAGATGAGGAACACGGAGGCAGCAGGTGCTGGCTCATCCCACCCTTCCAGGCTCTCCTAATGAAACCTTTTCCTGACTTTTGTGTGGGTTTGATTATTTTTATAGATATATTTATATATTTTTCCCCCTCCTGGCTATTTCCAGGTGAAATGATCCCAGTTTTCCAAATTTCTGGGAGCTGTGTGAGCGCTGAGGCTGCGGGCGGGGACGGAGGAGGGAAAGCGGCTGCGGATTCTCTGAAAACCCCTGGAATTTTTTTTTTCCCAAGGGAAATTTCCACATCAGCGGCTCATTCCCAACTTCCAGGGATGAGGATCGGGAAGGAGAGGGAAGAGAGGCTGATCCCATCCTTCCTCCTCCACTCCGGGATGTGATCGGGAATGGGATCCCCCTGGAAAAACCGGGATTCCTCTTATCTCCCTTCCCGGATTTCTGCCTTCCAGCAGGAAAACTCTGCTAATTAACAGCCCGGTGCTGAGTGTAATAATTAATCTAAATGCGGGAATTTAGGAAGTGAGCCCGTGATCAGTTCCTCCCTTTGCCCCGCTCTTTATCTGAGGAAAAACAAGAGCAGACACAATAAAACTTTTCCCTCGGCAGCAGGAATTCCCAAAGCCGAGCTGATTCCCTTCTCCCTCGTCTCTCCTCTCCCCAAAACAGAGGAAAGGTTCGAGTCTGGTGGCCTTCAACACGTGAAAAAATAAAAGTTGTGTCGGCCGAGGCAGCCGGGCTTTAGCAGTGACCGCAAAAACAGCCCGGGCTTGACAAATCCCGAGCCTAAGTGGAGCCCCGGGGCTCCCGGGAGCTGCGTGTCTGTGCGGCTCCCGGCTCGGATAAAAGGATAACGACAAGAATTCCCTTCTCCTGCCCTCGCTCGGGAGCCAATCCCCGGCAGCAGCCGGAAAATCAGCGAGTTCAGGGAGTCAGCCACAGTCCCGGCTCAAAAAAAGAGCGTGAGCCAGGGGAGGAGGATTTTACTCCAAGGGAGGAGGATTTTACTCCAAAGGAGATGATTTTACTCCAAAGGAGATGATTTTACTCTAAGGGAGGAGGATTTTACTCCAAAGGAGATGATTTTACTCTAAGGGAGGAGGATTTTACTCCAAGGGAGATGATTTTACTCCAAAGGAGATGATTTTACTCTAAGGGAGGAGGATTTTACTCCAAAGGAGATGATTTTACTCCAAAGGAGATGATTTTACTCCAAGGGAGATGATTTTACTCCAAAGGAAGGAGGATTGTACTCCAAGGAAGGAGGATTTTCTCCAAAGGAGATGATTTTACTCCAAGGGAGATGATTTTACTCCAAAGGAGATGATTTTACTCCAAGGGAGATGATTTTACTCCAAAGGAGATGATTTTACTCTAAGGGAGAGGATTTTACTCCAAGGGAGGAGGATTTTACTCCAAGGGAGGAGGATTTTCCTGGGAGCCGGGTAACGGGAAGGGAGGAAAGCACCACAAGCATCCCCCGCACGGCTCGGGACAGGAGAGGAGCCGGGATGTTCTCTCCCATTCCCTTCTCCCCATCTTTTCCCGGATTTTATTTGGCTGTAGCAAGGGACTCTGGAAACTCTGGTTAGGCCGCGACTTTTGCTGTTATTAAAGGCAACCAATAAAAGAGGAAATGTGGTTTTTGGGATTGTCGTTGCGCTGGTTTGTGGTGTTTTCTCCCTCCGAGAGTCCCTGGCAGGGGGAAACCCGGCACGTCCCGAGCGGGGCTGCGGGCGGGTGGCAGCGGGACAGAGGGACAGAGTGACATAGGGATACAGGGACACAGGGACACAGGGACACAGGGACACAGGGACACAGGGACACAGGGATACAGGGACACAGGGACAGAGGGACACAGGGACCTGCCACCACCCTGCGTGACTTCTGGGGGATCCCGGGGCTCCTCCAGTTCCGGGCCGCCCGTACCCATCTGCGGCTCCCCAGCACAGCCAAACTCCGCGGGGCTGGCTTTTGACAAGAAAATGTTTTTATTTCTGGTTTTTCCCCCCCTCTGAATGGGGAGAAGAGGGAGGCAGCGGCTGCCCGGAGCTTTTCCCAGCTCTTCGCATTCCCCGGCTGCTGCCGCTCCTGCCCCGAGCGCGGCCGGGAGCGGGAGGGACGGAAAGGATGGAAGGAAGGAGGGAAGGGATGGAAAGAGGGAAAGGAAAGGATGGGAGGTGGGAAAGGTGGAAGGAAAGAGGAAAAGTAAAGGATAGAAGGAAGGAGGGAAAGAAAAAGATGGAAGGAAAGATGGGAAGGATGGAAGGAAGGAGAAAAAGGGTGGAAGGAAAGAAGGAGGGAAAGGATGGAAGGAAGGAGGGAAGGAAGGAGGGATAGAAAGGATGGAAGGGGAGAAAGAAAAGGATGGAAGGAGGAGTGGAAGAAAGTAAAGGATGGAAGGAGGGAAAGGATGAAAGGAGGGAAAGGATGGAAGGAAAGAAAGGATGGAAGGAAAGAAGGATGGAAGGAGGGAAAGAAAAGGATGGAAGGAAGGAAGGATGAAGGAGGGAGGGAAAGGATAGGACGGAGGGAGGGAGGGAAAGGACGGAAAGAGGGAAGCACGCAGCGAGCCGCGCACAGATCCGAGCCCCCATCCCCGGGACGCGCATCCTCCCCCCGATTTTTCCCCCCATCCCCATCCAGCCCTGCCCCAGACCTACCTTGAAGGCGATGGGCAGCGTCTTGTTGCAGCGCCAGTGCGTGGGCAGCACGGAGCAGAGGAAGTTGGGGCTGTCGGTGCGCACCAGCTCCCCGGGGTGATCCGCCAGGACCTCCACCATGCTGCGGTCGGCGCTGCGCAGCTTCCCCGGCAAAGCCCCGCTGTGCTCGGCGCCGGGCAGCGCCAGCGGCTCGCTCATCTTCCCCGGGCTCAGCGTGGTGGAGGGCGGCGTGAAGCGGCGGCTGGTGCTGGTATCTACGGGGATACGCATCACAACAAGCCTTTAGAGCCACACAACACCTCCGCTGAGTTCCTACAGAGCGGCCACGAGAGCGCAACTCCTCGGCGAGCCGCTCTCGGGGGACCAACATAAACGGGAGCTGCTCCTGCGCCGGCCGCCCCGAGTTAATTCGGTGCCCACAGCCTCAACTCTCGGCTCCCCGGGCAGGCGGAACAGATCCCGTTAATCCGATAAACGCCAGGGTCGCGGCTTTAGAGCGCATCGAGTCCGCGGCCGGGGCGCGGAAAGTGAGCGGGGACAAAGCTCATCCCAAAATCCCAGGAAAATGATAAAATAAGGGAGGCGAGCGAGAACGAGACGCGCTGGGAAAGACGCGCGGAGCTTGCGCTCCCCGCTTTCTTCCAGGTGATTTCTCTGCGGTCCCAAGAGAAGCCAAAAGGCGCCGGAGTCTTCTGGGAGGCAAAAATCGCTGTTTGAGGGAGATTCGGGGCTGTTCTTCAGAGGAGGCGGATCGCAAAGGTCAGCTGGCTACAACTGGCCAGAAATTCACGGCCACACACTCACGCACACGCGCATCTACCGGACTTCATCAAATATTTACAATAGAATCTGTAGAGAATTTAAACACAACAGGAATCCATTAATGTTCTCCGAGAGATTTTCCTTTTCCTTTTTTTTTTTTTTTTTTTTTTCCTTTTTTTTTTTTTTTTAAAGCAGCCTTGAAAATGAGCTTCAGTAGTTTGGTTGGCGTGGCTCTGAGAGCGCTCGTGTCACGACCTTTCAATCGTTCTTGCGCAAAAAATAAAAGAAAAAAAGGAAAAAAAAAAGGAAAAAGAAAAGCTCAGTGCATTCAAACTTCAAATCTCTCTCTTTGGTATAACGCTGTTCATTCATTTAAAAGAAAAGTCGGAGCCGAGCTGAGAGGTCCGACAGCTGCAAAGCCGGGCTTGGGGATGTTGGTTAAATTGCGGGTTCTCTCTGTGGTTTTGTGTGTGCAACAGCGCTCTCTCTCTCCCACTCACGTCCTCCTCAGCAGTCGAGCCAAGAGTCTGCAACAACTTCGGCGCTCTTTGCCAATTCTCCTTTTTTTTTTCTTTTTTTTTTTTCAGTATCTCAGACAGTCTTCCTCTAATTCGGCCACAGGAACTCGGCTGCTTAACAATATTTGAACCGCAGCAGGTGGAAGCCTGCTTTGGCAAACATGACTTTTCTCCCTCTAGTCCTGCCGGGATGGAGCCCGCCACGCACGCCGAAACACCAAAAAAAAAACCAAAAAAACCCCGCCGGAGACAAATTAGGAAAAGTAAAAATTAAAAAAAAAAAAAAGAGATAATAATAATAATAATAATAATAAATAAATAAAAGAAAAAAAACACTCAGCGCAATCGCTACTTTTGGAACGGGTGAAATCTTTCCTTCCGCGAATCGAGGAGGCGGCGGGAGGGGCGGAAAGCAGCGATCCTAAAGTTGCCGGCCGCCTTTTAGAGCTGAGCCCGAGCGCATTTCCGCGGCGGGGAGCTTCCCGCGGCCGAGGGAGAATTCCTGCCGGGATGCGCGGTGGGAGCGCGGCCGGCCGGGCTGCCGGAGGTGGCCGGGAGCGAGTCGGGGCGGCGGAGGCGTGCGGAGGAATGTCATTCCCCCGGTGCTTTGCATACGGGGAGGGCACCGGCCAATCACGGCCCTACCGGGGCGCGGCCGGGGGCGCCCGGAATCGGCTCCGGCCCGAGCGCCGGCTCGCCGGGGACACCGCGCCCGCTCCCCCGGGGACACCGCTGCTGCCGTGCCCGCTGGGGTTCCTGCTCGCCCCTGGCTCACGGAGCGCCCCCGTGCCCGCCAGGTGCCCGCAGAGCCGCGGCCACCGCCCCGCCGCATGCCCGCTGCATGCCCCGCTCCTCCCCCGGTGGCCCCCGCTCCTCCCCCGGTGGCCCCCGCTCCTCCCCGGGCGAGCTGCCGGCGCTCTCTGCTCCGGGGCTTTTCTTTTTTGGGCACCCCTCGCCACCGCCGCTTCGGTGTCCCCGGCGCCCCCTCGGACGAGAGCGCGGCCCCGAGGGGCGGCCGGCGCCGCTCGATTTGGTGGGGCGGTGGCGGCGCTCCCAGACAGAGCCGTCCCTCCCTCCCTGCCTGCCTGCCTTCCTCCTCCTCCTCCTCCTCCTCCGCACAGCCCAGCCGGGGACAGCTCGGGCAGAGCCACACGGCCACCAGCGCCTCGCCAGCCGCCGCTCGCTCCGGGCCCGCGGAGCCGGTGGCGAGGATGCCGGGTGGAGGCGTGGCTGTCGGCTCGGGCTGGGGATTTTTTGGGGTTTTGGTGGATTTTCTTTCTTTCTTATTTATTTATTTATTTTTTCCCGGGTATTTTAATGCTGGTGGCCGATTCCGAGATCCCGACCCGTCCCCACCGCGCTCCCGGCGCTGTTTGCGCTTCTTCCCTCCGGCAACTCTCGCCCCCCTCGGCCGCAGCAACCCCGCGGCTCCTCCGCTGCGGGCAGGGGAAGGGATGGAGGGATGGATGGATGGATGGATGGATGGATGGATGGATGGATGGATGGATGGAGGGATGGATGGAGGGATGGATGGAGGGATGGATGGAGGGATGGA